ATCAGATACCCTCGTTCAGGTTACTGGGCCAGTGATAAACTACAAGGAGCTCTCTTGGCTGGACACACCAGTGTAGCAAGCAACATCAGAAGATGACTTGGACACAGAATGAAGTCATGGGGAAATTAATACTTTGAAATCTAACTGGCATGTCAAGGAGAAGCATCATGTTTACACAGCAAAAAACACATGATGCATTATAGATTTGTAACTATTTTATATATTACTCATATATCTACATGTGTACGTGTGCATACATAGATATGAGCAAATGAGTTAACTCATCTTTTTCTCAGGCTAAGAAACAATTCCCTAATATCCCAAAGCCCAAAAGAAAGCCAATCTAAACTGGAACTTCCCCCTCTTCTAACCATTCTAGGACAGTGACAAATTCTGCCTGGAGATCCATAAATCTTGGTTGAAGTGAGAACAATTAAAGAAAAATACATGATAATAAACATCCAGAATTGGGGAATTATAAAGATTAGAGATGTATACATCAAAATATTAGATATTTTCCAAATATCCCTTAGTACTCCCATAAATCCTCTAGTGCCAGATTCCAGATCCACACGAACAATGCCTCGAGATCCCGTTTACCTTCCCACACATGTGCCTCTACCTTAGAACCAGAATGATATTAAGAAGAAATCCCAATTACTTAATTTTAGGAAAAGTTTCTTCTCTCCCCTCCCTTTTTCTCCCCCCCCCCTTTTTTTGGTGATTCTGGTGATTGAGATCAGGAATGCTTTACCACTGAGCTACATCCCCAGCCCTCTTTATTTTTTTGAGATAGAGTTTCCCTAAATTGCTGAGACTGGCCTCAAAATTGTGATCCTCCTGCCTCAGCCTCCTGAGTTGCTGGGATTACAGGTGTGTGCCACTGTACCTGGCTTCTTCTCTCTTTTAAGGAGAGAGTAAAATGGAAAACAATAGCTGTTTTAAAAGACAATTAAAAAAAAAAAACTAGTTTATTTTCCCATTCCTTCCTCATTCTGGGGATAAACTGTCAGGTGAAGGATGAGTGGTCTAACCTAGGTTTCCAACTTAACCAGCCAGTTCCAGTAACTTAGCTTTCCTGTTGCACATTTTGTCACAAATACAGGGATGACCAAGTCTTGATTATGGTATACAAACCTGCAAACTTTCTGAAGCTGAGACAGTAGGGAAGGGGAGAACAATGACCGTTCTGTTTCTTTCAGCTGATTTAGCGATAGCTAGCTGTTTCTGTTTTTACCTTGAGCACCCTTAAGATGCTCACCTTGGGGCTGGGATTGTGGCTCAGCGGTAGAGCGCTCACCTAGCACAGGCAGGACCGGGGTTTGGTCCTCAGCACCACATAAAAATAAAGGCATTGTGTTGTGTCCACCTACACCTCAAAATAAATGTTAAAAAAAAAAAAAAGATGCTCAACTTTTCTGTCAACAGTGGTCACCTTGGTGACATGGGGTAGGGGTGGGGTTTAAAAAAAGGAACCCTTTTTTACATTTCTGTGATTCTGAAGAGTTTTAATCCACCAAGCATTTGCTATATTTTTAACCTTTAAAATATTCTGCTTCTCTCTAGGAACTTGGTTAAAAATTTTAACAAGATCATTTCTCCTGTAAATGTGGATGCTTATTGTTCTTAATCAGGCTTATTATATTCTATGTCAAGGGGAAAGTTGATTCTAAAATTTTCTTCACATTCATTTGAGCCCTTCGAATGATTGCACATCTGGGTTCAGGTTTCATATAAGACTAAAAATGCATCTTCTGTTACTACACTTTGTGATTTTCCTTCTTGCTTTCCAAACACAGGTTTCTACAATTGCAAAGAAACCCTTTAATGGGATCATAGATCAGCACTAGAGGTTTAAGCAAGTTTCTTTAACAAAACTTTTTGTTTCCTGACCTTTACTTCAAAAGCTTGATTTCAGACTTTTGCAGGGAATATTTCAAGACTAAAGGCCTTGACTGACTAAAGGCCTTGACTGTAGAGTCCCACTTAATTAAAAAAAAAATTATAATAAATGGACACAAACCCAGCACCTCCCATGTGCTAAGCAAGCACTCTACCAACTGAGCCACAACCCCAGCCCCACCCCTACCCCCACATATTTTTAACAACACATAGATCCTAATAATCAGGAGTGGTAACAGGGAGGAAATATTAACAGATAAATGTAAATAGAGATGCTGCCCCTGTAGAAATAAATGGCTTCCCGTGTGCCACACCCCACCAAAACTATACCTTCTTAAAAGACGCAATAGATTCCACAGCCTTTGTTTCAGTCATAAGATGCTCACTAATTTTTGCAGAAAATTCTCTTAGCAGACATTTCACATCAAGACATGTATTGGGATTATGAAGGATGACAGTGACCTTCTGAGGGCCTGTCCCTGCATAGATTCTCATGTGCAATAACCACCCTCTTACCCAGGGTATTGGCCCTGGCCTCTCTGAAGATCAACCAGGCACCCCCCTCCCCACATCCTAGCCAACAATATACTGTTTTTTTTTTTTTTTGGTACCAGGGATTGAACCCAGGGGTTCTTAACCACTGAACCACATCCCCAGCCCTTTTAAAAAATATTTTATCTAAAGACAGGGTCTCGCTGAGTTGCTTAGGGTCTTACTAAATTGTTGAGGCTGGCTTTGAACTTGAAATCCTCCTGCCTCAGCCTCCCAGGTGGCTGGGATTCTAGGCATGCACCACCCTGACTGGCAATACTTGAGTGGTAGGTATGGAAATTAGTGAATGGGAGCCTTGAAAAGAAAAAAAAAAGAGTCAATGAATTTATTTCTAGCTGGAGGGTCTGGGCTTCCACCTGACCCCGTGCTTTGAAGTTTTCATGTCATGACACACACACACACACACACACACACAGATTTCTGCATGTGTGTGGCCCACTAGGTCAGTGGCTGGAGCTCATGGGGCCTGGTCTTCATGAAGGCTCAGGCCTTGCTCAGCAAACCGGGGGCTACATCCTGCTCGTTCTTGGCATTCTGGTTCAGAAACTGGGTCTGGACCATCAGTACTTTTGTTTATCAGATCTGTGAGGCAAGAAGGTAACCAACATCAAATCACCAACTTTAACCAAATCTGTTGGGCCGTTTTCAGTCACTGGTTATAATTATCAAACTATCAGATTGGGGAAGCCTGGGGGAGGTGCGTTTTGGGCGAATTCCACACTTTTCTTTCAGCTCCCTACTCAGTAAGGACTCTATTACGGTTTTGATTTTAGTATCAAATCAAGGGAAAGTGCTATGGAGCATAAGAGATGTTATAGACATAGAATCTGGCCCACGGAAATCTCTGTCCTTGGATATGGAGCAGCCGAAAGAAGACATTCATGTAAGTGGTCGCAGAGAGAGGAGAATGCTTGCAGTATAAGGTAAAACGGGACTGTCAAGAAAAAGAACTTTACGTCAGCTGTGGTGGAAATGGGTGGGAAAAGCTGCCCTCTGGGCAGGTTGCCAGGCACGTGGGAGACCAGCACCTTGGCCAGGTCTCCAGTGGGCATTCCCATTAGGATGAAAGAAGAGAAGAGAGCTACCTGGCCAGTTTTACATTGACAGTGTGAAAGCAGAATTCTGATAAATATCATGTGGGGTGAGGGGTTGGGGACAATAGGAAAGGAAAGGGTGGCATTAGTCATTAAAATGAAACTTTTTTTCTCCACTGCCAAGAATGGAACTCAGGGCCTTCTGCTTGCCAGGCACTGAGCCAAATCCCCAATTCCTGAAATAAAACTTTACAAAAGTCCTATGGTCAATTCTTATTGCTTTCCTCACTTTCTTATATCAGAGAATGGAGGAACAATTGTCATCTCTGAAATCAACCCACAGCATTTCAAAAAAAGGTTTGTGGTGGCATGCCAGTGCCTGGGATCACCCTTCAGCTGCCAGCTAGACATCCCCTTTCCTCAAGTTTAGAAAGTGCTGGCGCATCACCAATGCTAGGGGTGTAGTAAAGGGTGCCATCACCCACACGCTCCTGTAACCTTAGCGAAGTCTTTTCTGTATTTCCCACTCGACGGGTCTGATAATAGATTTCTTTGACTGCTTGAGAAATTCACTGCTTCTGAAGCTGACATGGAAGAAGACCTTGCTGAAGAGGGGGGCCCATGGAACCCTATCTCTCCCTCAAAGAGAAAAGTCCTCCAGTCACACCTGGCCATCACAGGAGGGCAAACAGCCTCTGCCACGTGGCATCCTTATGAAAGGAAGCAAGAAGAGACGTGACATACCTTGTCCAGGTGGTACAAGTGAAAGTGCTTTGACTACAGGTAAACCATGGAAAATACTAGCACAGACATCAGTGTGACGGAATCACATAGAAGGACCAATTATCCCAAAGGCAGGCATCTAGCGTGCCGTGAGTCTAGAGCTCTGTACCCCACTGTCTACCCCATTGTCTTACTTCTTGAACGGCGATGATGTGGCTTTGTAGGGTTTTGCCAGATGTATTCTTCCACAACCTCGTCAGGAGAGGGAATGTAAGGAAGGGATGAAGCTAAGGAGTCACCCAGGCAGCCGAATTGAGAAACCACAACTGCTGACAGAGTAGGCTGAAGGCAGGTGTGCTCATTACACTAAGAAGAAATGGAATCAGTCTCTGCTGGAATTGCCCAAACTGGCCACCAACAGAAGTGACCCGCACTTGTGTGACCTCACTGAGATGCCTCACAGTACTTGAATGATCAGGTGAGATCCATCAGAGAACTGGGTGACCATGTAATGAATGAACTTGTGCAAGATGGGGGGCCCTGAATCTGGCAGGGCAGAGTATCAGCTAGACAGATCCATCATGGGCTTTGCACACCTGACGGTGGCTTCCCGATAGCCACCGGGGTGACATCTCAGCCACCAAAGCAGCACATACATATTGGGGTTACCTTTTTACCTTTTATATAAGTTGTACAAAAATTTCCACTGGAATTCTTTCATTTGTATCATTCCTTCATGTGAAATAGTTCAGTTCCCTCCAAAACAAAAAACAAAACAGTGAGTGCTACCTGCCATCAAAGAAGAAGAACTTCCCACGTCCATTCTTTTCTCCATGAACAAAGTTGCCCTCAAATCTGTCGGTGGAGGAGTAGGTGACTGTGCAGAACCCATGCGGCAATCCATCGTCATCCAGGTGTCCTGCGGAAAGAACCACAAGGCAAAGCTTAACAGAGTCTGGGCTCCCCACCACTGTCAGCCCGGATGCTGCCAGGCAAGTCCTGGGGTTGCCCAAGGACCCCTTCCTCGGCACCAGGTGGTCAAACATGCAAAGCTTTCTCATCTCATTCATACTGGTGGCACCCACTGGATCATGGACACTTGTGAACTGACAGGTCTACAGGGACTTGGCCACATTTCAGAATGTGAAATTTAAATAGGCTTGCAGCTCATGTGGGACTGAGGGCTATTATCAATAAGATCTGCAGTGCTGGCTACAATGTACCATCTACCCACCCCCCCCCCCCCACTAGATCTTCTCATGTTTGAAAAGAAACTCTGTGCTTAACTGAAATGTGGTTCAGAGTCATTGTTAGAGTGTATCGCTAGATACATTATCTTGGCAATAAATTATCCAATTCTTGAGTTTTTAAAGTACCCAGTATGACTTTATATATCATTCTGTTTTATGATGTGGAGGACTACAGCCATTCTGAGACCCCCCCAAGTTTACATGTTATGCTCAGATAACAAGAAAGAGAGTCATGTCTCTAAAACTGCCCTGCTATTCATACACAACCTCATTGGCTGAGAGTCCTTTTTTAAATTTTGGTATTGAGGATTGAACCCAGAGGTGCTCTACCATTGATCCACATCCCCAGCACATTTTATTTTCTATTTTGAGATAGGGTCTTGATAAGTTGCTGAGGACCTTGCTAAATTGCTGAGGCTGGCCTTGAACTTGCAATCCTCTTGCCTCAGCCTCCAGAGTCACTGGGATTACAGGTATGTGCCACCACCACACATGACTGGCTGACAGTACTTCTAAGCTCGAACTTGAGCATAACCTGTTTTATTTTGCAAAATCATTCAGCTTTGAATGTTTAGCAACAACCTTGTTGCATACCCCCTACCACTGTGTGTCAGAGGGTTTGTATTCTAAATGGAGGCAGAAGTGTCCACAAAGCCATTTCACTAGTGATCTTGAACCTCAGCAGTAGTCATTACCCAGATCTTTCAATTGCTGGCTCTTCCTGGATCCCAGGCGGTCTATTCTAATGTATATGTTTGCAGTCCACGTTTCAGTTCTTTATTACTATCTACATATTTCACAAACCCCAGGGATCACCTCCTGGGGTCTCCCCACTCATTCTGGCAAACTGATTTTGCAGAGCTGGGTGAAAATAAGGGCAGTCATTACTCTACTGGCTTTTTCCTGGGTTAACAACCAGGGTCACGGATGGAAAAGGAATAGAGACATTACACACCGTGTGCAGCACAGGACATTAAATACTAAAATGTGGCTTCCAGATGGTGCACAGACAGGAGAAAACATACCAAACCACCACAAGGAATGTTTTCATCTCCTAAAATAATTTCTTCTAGCATGATAAAAGAATATTATCAGGCTGGGCTGTAGCTCAGTGGTAGATGGTTGTTCTAGCATTCCTGAGGTCCTGGATTTGATTCCCAGCACCACAAAAGAAAAAAAAATTAAGAATATTACAAAGAATTAAAATGCTCCTTAGTTCTATTACTGATTACAGAAGGATAAAATAACAGCCAACAGATCAATACATCTGACTCCACATAAAATGGGTCTCGTTGAACGTGTACAGTAAGACATGACTACTTAAATACATGACAATCAAGATAGTCCCTTTCCTCTTAACATATGCTTTTTCCACCAGGGCCAGGAAATCAATTGTCAGGAGGGAACTAGGTCATAAGTGCTTTCTTTTTTATATAAAAACCAATGGTACATGATCCTTGAGTCATATGAAATATGTGGATAGTGTTTTCTAAATATCTACTGATGACATTTTTCTCACTGAAACAGATTGTTTACTTTTTTCTTTTCATAAAAAATCCACTCAGTGTACAATAGCTAAAGTTTTTTTTTTTTTATGAAAATGTTGTTGGGATAAAATTAAATTTAGCCACTAAAGTTCCTATAAATTTAATGTCCTATTTTGAATTGGGTATAAAGTTCAGAATAATCAGGTTAGCCTCATATGAGATATTTACTAATTTGTTGAAAATGCTTTTTTTTCATAGAAATCAGTTCACACATTTCACACTTTACACAGTCCATGTTGATAAATCTGTTATTTCACTTTAGATCAAGAGAAATATTATGATAAACATGAACACTAATTCCAATGTAAATGCACCCTGCTTTCCCTCTAGCCTGTCCTATTTCTGAATACAGTGCTCACGGTTCACCCTCAGCAATGGAACTGAACTATTAGGGAAATGGAAGATGTCAGATGACACACCAAAAGCGCATAGAGGTCAGCACTGATCCCAGGTGAGATGACCAGAGGCTCAACCCTGCTCCACGAGGGATGCCTGTGTTGGTGCCTTTCAACAGGCCAGCGGAGAGGAGTCCCATCATCCTTTTAATCTCTTAGGAGAGAGAGAGGGACATACTGAATGATGGCCATTTCTCAGGTGATCTTGTGATTCTAGAAGAAGGTGCATGGGTGTGTGACCCTTCCCTGTCATTCTTAAGGTTTTTATGTTGCTGGTGGGGGAGTTCTGAAATCTTTCAAAGCACACTGGGGTCTCGTTCTCCTCTTTCTCCTTCCTCTACCCTTCCCCCTTCCCCTCCTCCTTCTTTTCTTTATTTCTTTTTTTTTTTTCTTCTTCTTTTCACAGTACTAGGGATGGACCCAATGTGTAGCTAAATATACTGTACATGTTTAGGCAAGGTGCTAGGCAAGTGCTTTACCACTGAGCTACATCCCCAACCCTTTTTATTTTGAGACAGGGCCTCTCTAAGGTGCTGAGGCTGGTCTGGAACTTGGAATCCTCCTGCCTCAGCTTCTGGAGTAGCCAGGATGACAGGTGTGGACCCACAAGTCCTGCTCAGGGATGCCCCACTTGACTGGCTATGGTTTTTTGTTTTTTTCCATTTCATCAGGATGTGATCAACTAATAGCTTTAGAAATTAGAGGCTGTGATCATTCAAGACTTCCACCCTGAATATTTAATAGCTCAGGGGATTTTTCTGAGCAGTAAAACTTTACATCTAGAAAACAACCAAAACAATAACAACAAAGACTTTTCCAAACAAATAAACACAGGGAACATAAGAAATTGGGTGGCTATGCCCCTCCATTTCCTTTTAGCATTAGTTCTATGAGAGATTCCAGCATGATTTCATTTCAAATGTCCTTTAGACAATATGATTTATGATATTTTGTCATGTCAGTGATAGTCTTATTTAGTTAATTTTTGCAGTGTGGGAGATGGAATCCAGAGCCTTGTGTGTGCCAAGCAAATTCTGTACCCTTTTACCCCACCTCTAGTCCTACGAAGAGTCAATTTAATGAAGTAGGATGTTGATAAACAGAAGAAGAACCCACTGGGTCAAGTGTTTCCTGTTATCACTTTAAACCTCAAAACAATCTTCTAGATTTCCACCTATTTCCGTTGAGGACACCAATGACACATGACTTGTCTATGAATGCTGCAAACCCTTCCCCCAAGGCCAACAATTCCTCTTCTCTTGGGAGGAGTGTTGAGCACTCTTTCTTCCTGGCTGCTATAGAACAAGGTGTCACTATGAAAGCCAGGCGTGTCCAAGGCCCTGGTAGAGAAGGTAATCCTCCTAGAACTGCGGAGATTTTCAACAGCATGTCCAGGTTGTCAATTCCTGTCCCTTGCCAGTGTTACCTAACTTAAAGAGAAGCCCTCGTCCCCCCAGCTCTGATTGAGGTCAGTCTGCAGAATGTGCCAGGTCAGCCAACAGCCTTCCAGGCCAGTTTCCACTACACAGAGGGTGAGCACCAGGCCCAGAGGACAGGGAAATTAACTTGAATGACTGCTCTGTGTTTTTAATGCTGCCCCAGCTAATCCACCGTATATCCGTCTGCAGCATGATTTTAAATATTTATAGGCATTAGAGAAAGGAAAAGAAAAAGCAACAATTTCACAAGTCTACTTTTTCATTTTGTTCTAAAGATCATTGTCTACTGAATGGATAGAAAGTTAAATATTTCCCCTTGAGTTACTTTTGAGTAAGGTTTTTTCCCCTGAACCTGATAGAAGCCAGGCCTCTACTCTGCCAGCAATGTTTGCCTCAGCAAAGGAAATTCCCTCCAGATCAGACTCTGCTGCTGACTGCCTCCGGCTCACAAGGGATCTGGGAGTGCAGTGTGGGTTTCCTCAAAACAAGAGACCCTTCCACATTATTACTACTTTTGGAGGGTTTTACATAGCCCTCCAAAAGTAGTAATAATAAAAGCCAAGCTTATTCTAATAATAATAATGCAAAAAAAAAGCCTTCCCGATGATACACTCACACAGGCTGTTAAAAATATAATTTGATTTTTAAGGGCAATTCACTGCAAGAGCTCAACTGTTAGTTGTGAGGGTCATAATTTCAGCACATGGCCCACAGGGAGAGGGTGCTACCAGTACACTGAGCATGCGTTTGTCCTAGGAACACAGCGTGGGCAGTCTTATTACAGAAGCCAGGACAGGCTATTGGGTGGCCTGTTAATAGAAATATTACTGTGTTGAGGGCGCTGGGTAGGGAAACTCTGAGCAGCTGTTTTCATCCTGCTTCATAACTGCACACCTGGACCATTGCAAGGGGCCTATGAGGTGACATTCAGCTGCCCATTCAGCCCCTCCTAGTGCCCCTGCTTACCACTGTCCAGAGCAGAGCTCCAAAGGGTCCCCGTAGCTCCTGTGGCCTCCAGCTGTCATCCTCTGGTCCTGTGACCCACGCTCCCCTCCCTCAGGCACCCTCCACTTCTCTCCTTCTAAGCCCAATATTACAGCAGATCCCACAAAATGATTCTCTGGATGGGCCCCAGTAGTTCCATGTGGGATGTCTTTACTTTCAAAGTTTTCCTCTCAACTCAACTCTGTGCCACCTCTTTGGGGGAAATCTTTCCCCCTCTACTTCCCCAAGCTACAAGTAATTGTTACTTCCTCTCAACCACTGAGATCCATCTATGTAGACATGCTACAATGTTAAACTGCTAATAGGGACTACATTGTATTCATTTCCATCTATGGGTGGACAAAGAAATAGAAAAATAAATGTTTCCAAGGCCCCTGATGAAAACTAACACATGAAAGCTAAACATCACTCTCCACTGAACAAACTAGACTTTTAATGTTTTAAAAAACCACAGTGAGAACAAGGAGCAGTGACATGCACCTCATCTCAACTTATCCAGAGGCTGCGGCAAGAGAATCACTTGAGCCCCAGAGTTCGAGGCCAGCCTGGGCAACATAGCAAGACCCCTGTCTCAAAAGTCATAATAATAAAAATTTTTTAAATAAAAATAAAAAGCCACAGAGAGAGCTCAAGTTCAGCCTCCGGGTCTCAAAGCTTGTTGTTTACCCAAAGCAGCAGGGCAGGCACAGGTGCAAAGAATGCTCCCTCCTGACACCCCCATTTCCCCTCTGGGAATTCATTCACTCTGAGTTTAGAACTTCACTAGGTTACAATTCTACCCTGATAGAGATCCAAATTGTATATGATGCACAAGACATTTAAACTCAAGTCCTCAAGAGATCAGTTTCTCTTCCAGGGTACACTTTAATGGGGGAGGGGAGAGGAGAAAGAATTCCTGTGGCAGAGGCTGAAATGAAATTATCTTTCCCAGATGCATTATTCTGAGACACTGAACTCTGTCAGAAAAACCTCTGAAGAGTTATTCTGATAAAGAATGATGTTGACATAATATTTAGCTGTTTCTCAACTCAAACACCCAAGTACTTCATATAGTTGACTGACAGATCAAAAATTTAAAACTATGTGGGGAGACAGTTTGGTATAGTGGAGGGGAAGTCCAGCCTGTCCCTCCCCCTTGCTAAATGTCCTTGAATTAGTTCTTCTCTATGTCTCATTTCCCCTCCTCAGTAAAATTAGAATATTTGTACCTGTCTCATAAGACTGAATGGATAATATGTGCGAAACACTGAGCACAGAACTTTCACATAATAAGAACAAAAAAATTATAGCAACGATAATAATAGCTAAGACAATGAACTTCTGAGCAGAGAGGCTGTGTTTATGGAGAGAGGTAGATTAGTTGAACACCAAGATATTCAGACTAGTTTCTCTTTGGGAGAAGGTCATGAACAGTTTATATCTTATACCTGTGTTAGATGTTAAGCAGAGACCACTGCACACAAGCACTAAAAAGGCCAACAATTGCTGAGAAAAGCCCAAGGGTGCAATTTGCCAGGAGCACAAACACAGCTTTAGACATCCTGCAAATTTGAGCCTGACAGCTCATTATTATTTATTTATTTTATTTTATTGAGACAGGGACTCGCCAGGTTGCTCAGGCTGGCCTAGAACTGTCAAGTGATCCCGCCTCAGTTCCCAGAGCAGCTGGGACTTCAGGCATACACCACCATACCTGGCTTCTCTAAGGACTTTTAAATATCAAAAGTTATTCTAGGACTGGGAATGTAGCTCAGTGATAGAATATTTACATAGCAGGCGCTGAGTGTGATCCCTAGCACCATAGGAAAAAAATAAATTAAAAATTTAAAAATTTAAAGTTAATCTAATTGTCTAGTGTTAGGTGCCACTGAGTGTGTGTCCCAGATTGCCCAAGATAGTCAAGGTTTAAGCCAGTTGTCCCAGCATAATTATTAATAGTGCCCGCTCTTGCTCTCAGAAGTGTTCTGATTTAGGACAATAATGTATATGCTCAACCTGTATAACTGCCTTTCCCGATGATAAAAGGAAACTTCCCTGCTTCTAATCCAGGAGATTATCTCAAAAACAACATAGATACATGTTGAAAGCCTCCTTAACATTCTGCAAAAGGCCCCCAGGACCAGAGGGGAAGGAGGCTTCATCTGTGATCAGGGTTTTTACAAGTAAAAAGTAAAAGTAAACGTTGAGGAATAAGAGTAAACCCTAACAAGCCCTAATTTGAGAAGAGCATTTTTTTTCCCCCATGACAGAGGCAGAAGAAGTCAGTAACTTAATTCAAAGTCTTGTGGACCAACTCAATCAATGCCTTTGGGTCCCACTAAGTTCCAACATTAAGTTTACTTAAGGGGTACAAGCTCTGAGTTCACAATATTGTGAAAATTTTCTAAAGTTAAAAAGCATACTAATTGCCTTTGAACCTAGATGAAAAAAATAATAAGTTTTAATATTTACATCAGATTGAATACCTTTTGGAGAATTCATAAATATCACTCTGATTAATCTCCTTCAAGAGCACTGCGATAGGAATTATGTTTATGAAATCATAAAATTTGATTTTTCCTACTGTAGCACTGACCATGCATCCTTATGCATTTGTAAAGCGTTGCCACTTTAGTTTTTAATTGTTTGTGAGAATTTGTTTACACAAATTAGATAGAAACCAGATTCAACCAATAGCTAAAAATTATTTGCTGGGATGCTGTTTAAAATATTCTGGAACAATACCACACACAACATTGCAAAACATCACGACGCACGGTTTAGGGTAGAATCCAATAAATACGCTAAAGAGTATTTTCCAGTATTCAGTGTTACAAAATCATAACATCTGATGACACAAACAACGAGATTGTATAACGTCCCCACAGCGTTTTTCAGAACTAGCAAAAAAGAGGTGGAGAAACTCAGCAAAACAAAGTGGCAAGGAAAGTCGGGGGAGGGGCGCCAGAAGAGAAGGGGCGGAGAAACACGACACCGCGGTGGTGATATCACCCACAGCCAACTGCAGGGAATTCAGAAAGTTAAGTGTCACCCAGCAATTTCGGTCGGGGTTTGCGACGCGCCCGCACAGCGTGGCGGCGGCGGCGACACCCCGGCTCGGAAGCAGGAAGGGGGAGGGGGGCTTGACAGAGTTCGCTCGGGGAAGCAGAAGGGAGGGCCACCCGCCTCCCCGACCTCGCACGATCGAGCCCGGGGTCGGAAGCGTGGTCCAGTACCCCGCAATGATTTCATCCTTTTGGAGGAGCCGCCGCTGCCGCCACGTGCCAGGTTCGGCCCGGTGCACGGCGCTGGGGGACCCACCCGGTGGCGGCCGCGGTGGCGGGGCGCAGCGGCGAACGGAAGCAAAGGGCTATTGGCCGGAGTGGGAATCAAGGTTGCCCAAACTGCACAGGGGGGTTGCTCCGCGGGGACAACCAGGTCGCTGACCTCCAGGGTACCCTACCCTCCATCCCGGCGAGGGGAAAGGCCAGAGTGCAGGGCAGGTTAGCAACTCCAAGGGAGGATGCAGGCTGTGGCCGGGCGGGATGAAGCCACCGTGCATTCCCAGGGCCCCCGGCCCAGTGAGCCCCATTCCCGGCCTGCGCCCCGCCGCGAACGGTGAGCTCCCGGCAGCTTGGCCGTAGCTGTCCGGCCCCCGCCCGATCAGGGCAGCCCGCCACCGGCGTAGGGGACAGTGGCTGCCGCGGGGCCCGGCACCGCGCAGGTCGCAGCCCGCCACTCCTTCGGCGCTCCGGGCCCTAGGAGTGTCCTCCCCGGTCCCGGAGAAATGCTTGTACCTTCCACTGCCTCCTCCACCATCTCGTCGTCGCTATCCATGGCGGCCGGGGACCCTGCCCAGCTCGGGGCCGCGCGGCTGCCTCCGGTCCCTCCGGGTGCTCCCGGCGGCTGAGCGAGCGCTGGGGCTGAGCCCTGCGAGTTTGGAGGAGGAGGAGGAAGAGGAGGAGCAGTCGGGGCTGGCTCGCACTGCCTCCCCCTACAGCCCTTTCAATTCCTCGGCCTTCAGCTGCTGCCGCAGCAGCCGTCCCCCCTCCCTTCGCCCACTTGCCCCTGGCCTCCGAGGCTCTGGGGTGCCGCGGTGGCCGCCACCGCTGCAACTTTCTCCTGTGATACCCCCTCTTTGTTATCGAGCAGCTGATCCGCTGACATCACCCAGCGCCGGTGCGCTCCCTCCCTCGCTGATTGACAGTTCCCTGTCCCTTCCCAGAAGTAAGGCTCCTTAAAACGAAAGGCGCTCCGGGGCCGCGCTGACTCTGTGCCCCAGCCAGCCGGTCCCTGGGCCCCTCGGCGTTTATCTTTTTGCTTTTGCGCGACTTTGCGCGCTCCGAGCGTGCCACACGGTCCTGGCAGCTCCGGGCTTCTTACGTGCATTCAAGACCTCAGGGTACCCGCCCTCTGGGGGTCTCCCGCAACTTGGAACTCCGCAGTGCAGTGCCCCCTCCCTCCCCGCACTTCGGGACAACCTCCAAAGCTCAAGGGAAGCCGAGGAAGCCTTGCTGCCGCCCCGGCGCCTCGACTTCCTCTCGCCCTCGCCCCCGCGTCACCCGGTGTGCCACCGGAGCTGCACAGTGCCGCAGGCACAAGAGCGCAGGTGCCCGCACGGCACCGCATCGCACCCGCGAGCCGGTTTCCGAGACTCGAGGGGGTGTCATCCCGCCTGGATTCCGCCGGACTGTGGGTCCCACCCCAGGGCCCCCAGGATCCACCTTCCTTCGGAGCGTCAGGCCCTGGGGTGATTCAGAAACTCCTCGAATACCAACGGCAGCAGGCTCTTTATCAGGCAGGAAACTAGCCGCACCGAGGGCTTGGCAGATTCCTCCTCGCGGTTGTAGTCATGGAAAAGGAGCCACCGAGCGGAGCTAACGAGGAAGGACCCTCCGTCTGGCGCGCCTCCTTCTCGCGCTTCCCGTCCTGTACGTGTGCTGTCCCCAGCTGTCCCTGCTTCTCCAAGTGCCAACTACTTCACAGATTCAGGCGCCTTCGTGTGGAGAAAACCACTGGGCACCCACTTCACGGCCCAGCCACTTATCCACAGTGTCATTATGGTGCTGCCTCTTACAGGTGGCGGTAAAGGGCGGCAGTAAATAGCGGGTTAAATGGATGCAAATGTACACAATGTACCGTGGAATTACCGGGTGCCGCTTTGGGCATCTGCCAAGAACAGCTACTGCACAGAGAGGAAGCGGGTGAGGCGGGGAGCGAGGAAAGTTGTTCCATTTTGTTTTCTGAACAATGAACGAGGCTTTAGAGATTTCGAAGTGCTTCCATCACCCAGGAGACCACTCCTTTTTTTGGCTCGGTGTTTGAATGCCAGTTTTTTTGTTTTTAAATGAGTATTGCTGGCTCTTTTTTTTTTTTAATTCAATTTTTCCTCAGTGAAAAAGAGAACAATGCTAGGGATATTAACCCCATCAACTGCCAGGAATTTTAGGGCCTCAAATTCCCCCCTCCCACCTCGGCTTTCTTTTGGGGGGGGGGTAGTGGAGGTAGAACCCAGGACCTCAGGCATGCTAGGTGCTCTACCACTGAGCTATCCCCCCAGCCCTTAGAGTAGTTTTGTTTGTTTGTTTTAATTTTGAACCGGGGTCTCACTGAGTTGCCCAGGCTGGCCTCGAACTTAAAATCTTCCTGCCTCAGGCTCCACAGTAGCTGGGACTGTAGCCTTGTGCCACTGCCCCAGGCGTCTCAGCCCTCTTTGACTTTTGGAAAGAGGGGTGGATCCTGATGCAGGAGTTAGGACACTAACTGCAAAGCCAACCTGTCACCCCTGCATACCCGAATTCCTCCTCCTGACTGCTAGAGATTCAAACTGTACTTTAAAGCTTCCTGGGGTTTTAGGTTTGGCTATTCTGAGGACCTTTAACTTAGGCTGGACCACTCTGGGGACTTCTGGCTCAGGTTAGGCCATTCTGAGTTTTTCCAGCTTAGTTAGACCTCCCTGAAATCTTTCTGCTGAGGGCTGACCTCCATAAAGTCCTCCAGTGGGGATACCCGGGCCTCAGGCCTTCACAGGGAGAGGCATTCTTGCAGAGAATGATGAAAGGGCCACCCCAGGTCACGTCATGTTCAAATGTGAACCACATGTACAAGATTTTATTTTTTTTAAGTTGACATTCACTGATCTTGGTCACTCCCTGGTTTTGAGTTATGTGACTTTTTTTTTTAAAAAATTCCATTTTTATATATCATTGCTTTTCTTATTGTACTGATACACAAAAACACACCAGAGCCTCATCTTCCCTGGTTCCCAGTTTATTTTCAGGGGCAAAAAGGATACTGAAAGCTAAAGGAAGAGGCGAAAATAATTTATCCCCTTACACTTAAGGATACAGGGTAGGGGAGGGTGGATGGGAGGAAAGTTCTCAGAGATACAGGTTCATATGAGTGGGTATATGTGTGGGGTAGAGTCTGTCAAGTGTCCTGCCTCTGTCTTTAGGTTCAGAGAAGGAGGTCCATCTGTTGTCCCCTTGGTGTGGTTCTGTCCAGTGCCTTTCCATCTGCTGCTTTGAGAACACCTGGGACCCAGCATAGAGCCCCCATCAGGGAAGCAAACCTCCTATACACCCCCAAGGGGCTGGGCTAGGAAGCAGCTAGGGCCTTGCTGGGAAGCAACTAGGGCCTTCTGGGCAGAGTGGGCATAGAAGGGAGGAAAAGCCACCTGAAGACCTTCACCAGATCTGCTGGTGAGGCAGGCAGTAGCCAGACAGTCCCATCTCTCATCCTTCATCAGTCATATCTGTTGGCTCTGGGCCCAGAGTTTAGGCAAAATGTTTTATGACTCCCTTAAAAAATACTAGCATCTTTACAAGTCATTTTGCGTATGTTCTGAGTCTCCTTCCCTAGGCGGACTGATTCTTATTTATAGCCCCAGAACCCAACACAGTGGTTGGTAGTGAATGTGGGTTAAGCATTGTCAGCGATGATTTTGCAGATAGGAATATCCTGTTTTATATAAACAGTACTGAGTCTCTCTCACAGACTAGCTCCTCTGCCTGTGTTTTGGCAAAGTGCTTTGTTTTGGCTCAAGACTGGAGAGCATTTTCAAGTTGTTCTACTTTCCCACCTCCACTGGCCCCAAATCGGCTTCCATCACATCCTTCCCCACAGTTTCCTTCATTGAGAGCTCATTTCATAAACCCTCTTTCCACTTGGCTTCCCACCAGTTTCTCGTGTCGTACTCTGTCCCCACCAACGTGGTCAAGGGCTAGAAAATCAATAAAGCTCTTAATCACAAACAATGTGCAGCAGCGGTAGTGACTGCAGCTGGCAGCAGTGTGGCTGAGCTCCTGACTGGCAGATCCCAGCATGCCGGGACAAGCCCAGCCAGGGACAAAAAGCACTGCCCAGGACTCCAGCATCTGGGCCCTGCCCAGGGCCTTGCCTGCAGACTGACACTGCGGAGTGACTTTTCTGAGCTTCCCTGGCTTGGCTTTCACCATATCCGATGATCACTGCATCCAACCATATGTCCCCTCCCTTCAGACTCAGCTTGGGAAACAGAAGTTTCTCTGCCATTGCAGCAAGCAATCAGGATACTGAGTTAATTTGATTCATTTTACCACCCATGTCTTTCCACAGAGAACTTACACGACTCATTTACTTAAGAGACTGATGTAACCTGCAATAAGTATATTTCTGCAAGCTTTTTGTACTTTCTGCACCTTTCTACATTTAGGGGAAGCAAGTCTGTCCGTTCACTGCTGTGCAGCTGAGCACATGGGGAGACTTAGTAAAAGTGGATTCACTGGAATTGGCTCTTATGACTGCTAATCCTGTCCCGTGAGTAAATCCTGGAGGACCTCAAGCATGGAGTCTCCCATGTCTGCATGTTCCTGACTCAGCTTTAGGGAGTCTCCTCATGGCCTTTCCAGGTGCCCTGGTAAATTTCTGGTCGGTACTCTGGCTTGGGTTTGCACCATTTGCCAACATTACCCACAAGGAGACAAGGACAGTGAAGGAACTCTCAAGTAGTCATCAGGTCCCATTTTGGCACTGCTCACTCCTTAATAAAAATTTATTTCCCACCAATTGCTAGTTGGATTGAATTTGCACCTTATGTATTTTGGTTCTGCCAAGAGCTCACTGAGCAACTGGGCCATTAAGCTCCCTGAGCCTTAGTCTTTCCATCTGCGAATGAGGATGTTGGGCTACATAAATTCTAAGCTCAAACATTTTCTGCTGCTTTCCTCAGGGAAAGCTAAGTAGAGCATGGAAGCCCAGGGAGGGGCAGAAAAAGGAAAGGGGAGGGAGTCAGGGCAACCCTGACAGCATTCAAGTCTCCAGTCATTTCTTCTTATGCAGGGAGATGGGGGTCCCCGAAAAGGCCCTTTACCTTGACCCAAGGAAGGAGGGCGTGGGGATTTCAGTCCAAGGTTGTCGGACTCTGAATCACTGAGTCACTAATCAAGTGGCTAACAGACTTAGTGACAACTGCAGGAGCTGGGGGGAGGGGCAGGGAGAGGAGCAGCAAGGGGAGAAGGGCGTGGGGGAGGAGGCTGGATGAAAGGGAGGCATCTGCAGCAGCCGCTCTGGGAGGGCAGCGAAAGCAGGAGCATCAAGGGCACCCCAAAGAGGTCCGGGAGCAAAGGGAGACAGGGGGAAAATTCCTTCTGCTGGAAATAGATGTCTGCAGTCGGGAGAGGGCTCACGAATGCAGGGTGACCTGGTTTGATTTGATTACGGCAACAGGAAGTGCAGGAGAGAGAGGGCAGAATAACCTGACCGAGGAAGTGAATGAAATAAGAGAGAAGACACCCAGTTGCCATGGCATTAAAATGCCTCCTGCCACATTAGGCTTCCTTTTTTCTCTTTTGCTTGATTCTTGTTCTTGCAACATGTTCCTGTCATTGCAGTCTATGCAGTAGACTAAAATTAGACCCTCCAGGGGTGTGGGGGAAGGGAAGATGTGGCCCAGATCTCTCTGTTTGGGTCAACTCTGGGCCAATCTTGTCCCCCCATGGTGTGTTTGGGTCTTTTGCTCTTTGTGAGA